ACACACACACACACACACACACACGAAGGAGATATACACACACGCACACATACACACGCACACACACACAGAGACACTTGGTTTCTATTGATCTTGTTGGTTTCTGTCTGTCAACGCTTGAGGCCTTTGGGCCGCTCACATAGCATTCAAGCATTCAGTAGCAGACATTCACTCCCTCACATCACCCAGTCACCCACTCGTGCAAGCGCCTGTCTGAAATGAGCACACTTTCGGTTTTGATTGCTTCCCTCATCTCTGAGCACTGGGAATGGTGGAAGATTTCAACAAATTTTCCCCCCAAGAAGTTGCAAAAGATTCGAGGGTGATTTAGTGATCCCGCCGCGAAATTCAATTTCGCTGTTGACCAGTACAACCAACACGAGCCAACCAGCCAACCGCACGAAAACCACGAAGGATGGCAAGCACGAGAGGCAGCTTCGATTCGGCGTCAGGCGGGCTGTGGCGCATCGACGAAGAGGTTGTTGTATGCGCTCTGTGCTCTGTGCTCTGTGTGTGTGTGTGTGTGTGTGTGTGTGTGTGTGTGTGTGTGTGTGTGTGTGTGTGTGTGTGTGAATGTGTGTGTGTGTGTGTGTGTGTGCAGAGCTGTCGTGTGTCTCTCAGTCTCAGTCTCTCTTTCATTGTCTATCCCCTGCCTTCCCCTTCCGTCTCTCAGTCTCTGTCTCTCTTTCGCTTTCTGTCTCGCTTTCTCCGTCTTTCTGTTTCGCGAGCTCTCTCCCTCGCACGCGCTCTATCTTGCTCTCTCGCTCATTCGATCATCCCTTGGAGTGATTGAGCACACACTTGTGTCTTGTGTCGTCTGTGCCCGTGTGTCGACCCTGACGTTGGTTGTTGTTGTCGATTCCCGCCTTCCTCGTTTTCTTTCCACACCGTCTGTGTTACTGTGTTTCCCACTCTTTGCATCCTGTGCGGAAGAACAGAGAGAGTGTGTGTGTGTGTGTGTTGATGCGTGTATGTGTATGTGCATATCTCTGTGTGGTGCATCTTCACTTCACACACAACCTCAGTGCGGCTCACGTTCCTGTTTACCTGTGCCTTTGTGCCCGCCTTTGTCTTGGCCCAGTCCTGTTCTGACACCATGTCCGGCAGCATGAGCTCTGCGACATTCAACGCAGTACGTACAAAGGAATGCGACCATGCTGCTGTGTTGCGTGTTCACTTGGCCACAGCACACACACACACACACACACACGCACTCCCTCCCCTGCCCAGTGCATCTCAAGATCTCATTCAAACACAACACAACATGTTCTTTGCTTTCTGTTTGCTCTGTGCCTGTCGTTCCTTGAATAGTGTGCTGTTGCACAAAGCAGGCCTCAAGGGTAAGCGGAAACAGCAGGTGTTCATGGTCTGTCGAGTACAAGCTGGATTGCATGATACACGTGTTCGTCCTGCCAGCAGAAGCAGACCGGCATCACTATCTTCGCCGTCACAGTGCAACCACCATCACAGCGCCGTTATCATTGCTCCGCTGCTATACGGTTGCTTGTGTGTGTGTGTGTGTGTGATGTTTGCATTCACCCTCTGTGCTCACCCACACTCTCTGCCCAACCCCTTTCAACCACCACAACGCCGTTCTGTCGACACCAGCAGGCTTCACGCAACAGCGTGGTACGTCAACCACCGACCACAGTCACCACAGACAGCAACAACCACCACAACAACCGCAGCCACCAACCATCACCACAGTGCAACCACCACCACTACCACCACCACGGTGCAATCACCACAACACGTGCTGTGATTTCGGCTTCCGCCACGATCTTGCTCATACCCGCACCCACCTCATGTTCTCGTGCATAATATCCACCCCCGTCTTTTCTTTTCAGAGAGACTTGAAGCGAACTGAAACCCGCGTGGCCTCCAAGGTTCTGCAATTGCGCATGCACAAAAGCACATTGACACAGCACTGCCTTGCGATGCAGCAACCGAATCCCCCACCCCCTCACACCCCCCGCCACAGACTGGTATCACCTCTTACCCCACCCTCACAACACCACCGTTATGCACAGGCGTCCATCATAACGGAGGCAGCCGCGCGGTTTGCGACCATCACGCAGTTGCAAGAAGAATGCGCGCAGCAGCAAGGCAGCAGCGGCAACAGCAGCAGCAGCAGGATGGACGACATGCTCTATCTGCTGGAAAGATGGACCCTGGATGAGTGCAGCTCAATGATTGACAGATTACAGCACGTATTGGAGGAGAAGGAAGAGGGTGTGCGGGCCGCACAACAACAGCTTGCGGCTGCACAGGCGGAGCATGACAAGGTCTGGGCGGCTCTTGCGCGGGAGCAGATGGAGAGGATGATGGCGGAGGTGGAGAGGGTGAAGCGCGATGCTGAGCGAGTGAAGCAGCAACAGCACAGGCAGCAACGCATGCGCGACAGGCAGCAACGCATGCGCGACAGGCAGCAACGCATGCGCGACAGACACGACAGACAGCAACGCATCCAGGAGGCGAGCAACGTGAATGCACAGCGGATCGGGGACAAGAGAAATGAGCTCACGCAAGCACAGGCCGAAGCTGGTGTGGCATTGCCGACCGACCAACAGGCAATTACAGCGGCAGAGAGGAAGGTGACTCAGTTGGAGGAACAGCTTGCCACGCTGCTGGTGCAGCGTGATAAGCTGCGCAGACGAATGGAGGAAATCATCAAGGAGAATGAAGAAGAAAGGATGAGGGATGAAGAGGAGAAGGTGAGGGATGAAGAGGAGAGGGTGAGGGATGAAGAAGAGAGGGTGAGGGAAGAAGAAGAAAGGATGAGGGAAGAAGAAAAGAGGATGAGGGATGAAGACGAGAGCACAGGGGAAGAAGAAAAACGGATGAGAGAAGAAGAAGAGAGGAGGAGGGATGAAGAAGAATGGAGGAAGAAGTGGCAGCAACAGCAACACAAAGTGTGGGTGCGCGCGTTGACGACATTGCTGCAGGTGGCAGGTGAGCCGCTGCCACACACCACAAGTGCCGAGCACCTGTGGACTGTGGTGTCACAGGTGGTGGACGACGCCCTGGCGACAGCGTGGGAGGCCGGCCTTGTGCCCGCTGCTGGCCCGCCCCGACTGGCCACTATCACTTTATCTGCTCTCCAAGATATCGAGAAGCGCGTTGCGGAGAAGAAGATCAGCTCACCTGCCGAGATCAGAGACGGTATGCTGTCATCCACCTCTTTGTGTGTTTTCGTGCGGATGTGGTGGTGAAGACGGCCCTGCTTGTTTTGGTTGTCTTGATGACACACGGACATGTGTGCACTTGTTTGCGCGTGTGTTTGTATGTGCATGACGTTTTGCGTTGATGTCACACAGCGCACAACACGTTTGCTTGTATCGTCGTTGTCACTGCCACTGCCACTGCCACTGTAATTATCGCTGCCTTTGTCACTGTGTCACAGTTACTGTCGTTGGCATTTGCATTGGTAGCCTCCACCACCATAGTCACGCATGCGACACATTCACGCTTGTTTTGACACCTCTCCGCCCCTCATGCGCGCTGATTGCACTGCTGTGTGTGTGTGTGTGTGCGTGCAGAATTCTTCTTCACGACGCCACCCAGCAGCATCACCAAGCCCGAGAAGAACCCGTATCTCGTCTACTGGCCGGACAATGCCCAGTTCTTCACCGACATATGGCGAGAGCCACTCGCAAAACAGGTGCTGCAATGCAATGACATCCGTCGCCGCTGCGCTGTGTGTGCGGGCGGTGCTGGTGGAACAGTAGTGCTGGGCTCATTTCTGTAAACGTGCATGTGCGTGTGTTTGTGCGAGCGAGAATATATGAGTGCGACTGTGTGCTTGTGTGTGTGTGTGTGTGTGTGTGTCATGTGCTTGGTGGCATTATCATCACCACCCATCACTAAACGACGTGCCGCCATATGTGCACTTCTCCCCATGCCTCTCATCAACCGCTCGTCCCGCACACCTTTGTGTCAACACACTCGTGTGTATGTGCATGTGTGCGTGTGTGCATGCGTGCTTGTTTTCGCGTTTCCAGTTTGAGCTGAAGGCTGATGACATCACGCCGCAAGCAGTGATTGCAAAGATTCACGAAATACCAGTGCTGGAGGTGTCCAGCAGCCGTGGGCCCCGCCCCAGGGGGCGCCAAGTGACGCTTGGCCTGCGACAAGGTAAGGACGTGGCGAAGACTAGTGTTGCCTGTGTTTGCACTGCTTTCAGTTTTAGGTGCACGTGCAGACACGTGTACTTGGCCTTGGAGCGTTTGTCAACGTCGTCATCATCATGTGGTGTTTGGTCGTGTATTGCCGATGTGTGCGCAAGCGCACATGAAGGGTTGTGATGTGAGATGTGATTGTGACACCATTGTGCAATGCGTGCACGCTTACATCTCACCCCTGCCTATACACACACACACACATACATACACACACACACACACACACACACACACACACACACCGCTTGCTCGCAGGTCTGCCTTTGCCAAAAGCACTGCCAACAGGATGGTCCAACGAAGCGGAGATGTGCACCGATATCGCCGAGCACCTTCGCGCCACGGCTGCGCACCTCGACCCTGGTGTCGCGTTCCCGAGTGAGGTCCCAATCATGACGTACGTTGTGCGGTGCATGTTGTGTCCAGGCGTTGGAGGGGTGGGGAGTGGGTGTTTGCTGTATCCTTGTTCCCGCTCTCTTGCGTGCCCTGTGCTGCTTGTGGTGCTGCGAATGCCAACTTCTTACAGGGAACGTGCCCGTGCTCTTGTCGCGCTTGCCGCCTTGCGTTGGCCAGGTTCAAGCCAGGCACCCGCCCCAAAACAGACATTGTGATGGTGGATGGTCGCACAAACACAAAAGTGGCCGTGTTTGAGCTCACGCTAGGCGAGGATGCTGACTCGCTTGGCCAGTTGGCAGCGTACGCACACCACGCGATTGTGGCGAACGTGCACCGCATTGCAGGCGAGCACGTGCCTCTGGAGGAGCTGCCCCTGCTCGCTGGGCTGGCGATGTTTGGGCTGCGTGTCAGCCCGGTGCAGACCACCGTTGTTGAGTTTATGGTGGCCAACGCCGGTGGAGTCGTGAAGCTGGTCGCCCACAACATCATCTCCATTCCGATGACGAACATTGGGCAGGCTGCTATGGCCATTTCCTGCTTTGCGGACTTCCTCCACGCAAAGTACGCCCACGCCATCAAGCAGAACATTGAGCATGGCAGCGACTTTGCGTTGAATGTCATGAAGCCCCATGTGCTGCACTTCAACCCCGACAGCGGCAAAGGTGTGTTGTTTGCTGTTTGCTTGTCTGCGTCTGTATGTGCATGTGTGCGTATGCATGTGTGCGTGTATGCATATGTGCGTGTGCACGATCCTCTCCTCTCTCTCCCTCTCTGCCTCTCTGCTTCTGTTTTTGTTTGTGTGTGGTTGTGTGTGGTTGAAAGGCGGTCGCTATGCAGCGTTGTATGCACCATTGCGCCCGTGCCTGTGCTCGTGTGTGGTGTGATTCACATGATGCTGGTTGTGCTTATCGCTGTGCTGTCAGCAGAGGCACCGAAAGTGCTCAGTTCCGTCGCCAACAAAGGAAGCGGATACGTGTGCAAGTTCATCAAGACTGGGCACCGTGCTGGCGACTTGCGTGCTGAAGAGATTGAAAACATGTGGAAGTATGTCAACGGGCAACGCGCTTGCAGTCGCATCCCCGCCACCAACAGCAAGAGCAGCACCACCAACACCACCAGCAGCAGCAGTGGCAGTGGCAGTGGCAATGGCACGCAGATGATTGCGGTGCCCCACCTCGGGTCGACCCGCGCTCACATTCACGAACAGCACGTCGCGCAGCTCTGCAACAGCTTGTTTCTCCTGTCAGCGGCTGGTCTCGTTCACCATGACATTCGCTGTGCCAACGTGGTCGTGAGCGGCGACAAAGCCTCTCTTATCGACTTCGAACTGGCTGGCTGCGACGCCGATGTCATGGAGGCGGCCAAACTCAAGCCGGCTGAGGTTGCTCTTCGTACGGACCTGCCTGAGCGGTCAGCACACATCCGTGCAGCTGGTGACGAGCGAGTGAAACGCCACATCGAGGATGACTGGATCGCCCTGCTTTACGTGTGCACTCTCCGGTCTGCGCTCTACAAGAGTGCACCGCAGAGGGCACACAGGGCAACCAAGGACGCCATGCTGGCCGCGTTGAAACAGCTCGAGCAGCAGCAGCAGCAGCAGCAACAGGGGCAGCAGCAGCAGTGGAAGGGGGAGCAGGAGAAGGAGGAGAAGCAGCAGGGTCATTTGGTGCTGGTCGGGATGAGCTCGCAGCTCCCGCAGTCGTGTGATTTGCTGGGCCGCATCAAGAACATCATCAAGGAGATCCCGCTGTACGACTGAGCTCGACGTGATCGCGCGCTTGGGAGAAAGGAAGCCATGTGTTCGTGTGTGTGTGTGTGTGTGTGTGTGTGTGTGTTTGTGCGTGTGCATGTGTGTGCATGTACGTGATTGATTGTAATTGCGCGGGGAGTGCATGTCTACACGTGTAAGGGAGGGAGAGAGAGAGGGAGGGACGTGTGGAGGACAGTGTGTTTGCTTTGCGTGCATGCGCATGTGCACACGATGCTGTTCTTTGCTTTGCTTTGCTTTGCTTTGCTTTCTTACACGTCCATATGTGTCTGCAATACACTGCATAAGCTACAGTGATGTATGTGATCACGAATAGCGCTTTGCGGTGAACAGAGCACAGAAATGGAATGTGTGTGTGTGGATGTGAGGGATGAGAGGGATGAGAGGGATGCGTGTGTGTGTGTGCATGTGCGTGTGCTTGCGTGCATGTTTGAAAGACTGTTCTATTGACTGTCAGTCTGCCGTTCTGCGTTGTCGCATTGTCGTTGTCGTTGTCGGTGATGAGAAGTGATGTGAACAACCATTCGACCACACTGATGTTGATGGTCGGCGTCACAGTCACTTGTGCTTGACAAGGGAATGGTTGGGTTGTGATTGTTAACGAGTGGCTTCCCAGCACCGCCTCTGCTGCACCGCTCGTTGACACGGGTGCCCTGGTCGTGAGGGTCGTCGGTGGGCGATTGAAGCATGGGTTGTGTGTGTGTGTGTGTGTGTGTGTGTGTGTGTGTGTGTGTGTGTGTGTGTGCGGTGGTGGTGGTGAAGGACGTGTCACAACGTCACCATGCTGAGTGAGAGACAGCCGTTGGTGTGTATTTATGCTTGGGAAAAGCCGTCTCGGGCGCCGATAGATAGAAGGCACGCGTTCAAGCACTTGTTCGTACGCTTGTACACACCGTTTCCTTTATGCTTGCTTTTGATTGCTTCCCCATCTCTGAGCGCTGAGAATGGTGTAAGATCTCAACCAGTTTTCACTCACATTCACACATTCACACACACACGCGCGCATGTTCAAATCACAACAGCTGCGTTGTAGGTTTCTATTGCACGTTCGAACGAAGATGGAGGAATAAACACACGACACAACGACATAAGCATGGGCAACAGACAAAGCACCACGTGCTACGGGACAGGGCATGTGACCGCAAACAAACACAGCAAGGGTGTACGGAGGGACACGTGTGCTTTCTGGAACAACAGCACGGAAACAGCACAACCAACAGAAAGCCGTGGCAAGCGGGCCACCACGCACATACACACGCATGCGCACCCACCATCACAACACACAAATCGGCAAGAATAAACGGAACGCATGTGTGTGCATGCGCTTGTGTATGTGCGTGTGCGTACGCAGTATATGTAAATGCATGTATGTGTACGTGTATGTGTGTTCGCGCGCGCGCGCGTGTGTGTGTATGTGTTGGAAGAAGGTTTGATGGACAGGGATGTGCAGCTCAGCTGTGCTGTTCCTCGTCATCGCTCTCTGGCTGCACAAAACCCTCGGCCGTCTCGTAAAGGACGCTCAGGATGTGCTCCACAGGAAGCGTCTCCGTCCCCTCCTGGCACTCAACCTGACAGTCAAAACAACCGCCACGCGCAGGTGAGCGAGAGAGAGAGTGTGTGTGTGTGTGCGCATGAATCAAACGAGCAAACAGTACACTTGCAAAGAGAGACTGTGTGCGTGTGTATGTGCAAGTGCGTGTGTGATGAGCTTTGGTTCTGTCCACGGCTGTGCGTATCGTGTTCACCTCGAGCTGTCTGAGTTTTCCAAAGTAGAAGTCACGCTCTTTCTCCAGGCCGTTGATCGTCAGCAGCAGTTGCTCCCGCTGCATGTATGCAAGCACGCGTGTACGAGAGAGAGAGGGTGTGTGTGTGTGTGTGTGTGTGTGTGTGTGTGTGTGTGTGTGTGAGTACGTTCGTGAAAGGCGCAGACGGATAGATCCTCAAAGAGCAAAACAACCAGTTCCATAACCGCAGTCAATCACACTCCCCTCCCACGCCAACAGCAGCAGCAGCAACGTTCATATATGACCTCGGCCTTCAGCTGCTCAATCTCAATGTTCTTCTCCTTCAGCTCCGCAGCAACGGCGGCATTGGACGACGATGACGAGGCGCCACCACCACCCTTCCTCGGCGTTGTTGTTGTTGCTGAAGATGATGATGCTCCTGTTGGTGTCTTGCCAGCAGCGCGCGTGCGGCCGGAAGCAGCGGTCGTTGCACCTGTCGACTGCGCCTTCATCCCCGACGCTAGCCGTGATCGTGGTGGTGATCATGTCGGTCGTGGTAGCAGTGTTGGTGGTGGTGGATGTGATGGTCATGATGGTGGTGGATATGTCCGACAAGGCTGTGGAACACACACACACACACACACACACACACACACACACACACACACACACACACACACGTGCACACAACCACACACACACACACCACGTGACGCAAGGACATCATACGCTTTGTGCGTCCTTTCTTGGGAGGTTCGTTGAGGGAGGGTGGGGCGGCAACCTTCTTGCCGGCACGCCTGTCCTCGGGGTTGTAGTCGTGACCGCCGTAGTTTGCATCGAAGAACTGGTCAACACACACACACACACACATACAAACACACACACACACACACGTGTCAGTGCGTGATAGAGATGCCATGCTTTGTAGTTCATGCAGGCAAAACACTCGTGTGCAAACATACTCACATGCGCAAGCACGAATACCCATGCACGCAACCACACACCACACATTTCAAACAAGCCAAGTACAAACGCCCACTACTGTACCTTCTTGAACCATTGGCCAAACTCAAAGTTGTCCTGGAAGCGGCCTTTGACCAAACGCTCCACAGGGATCTCCTTGTCCACCTTCTTCTTCTTGAACGTCGACTGTGGTGACATGAAGACAAGCAGCAGCAGCAGCAGCAGTCAGCAACCACAACTACACGGGCATGGTTATGGCACATGAGGCAGTTGCCGGCTGCCAACAGCGTTACCGCATCAGGTGAACCCACCTGAAGGATCTTGAAGTTCTCGATAAACTCGTAGTCGTGCTTGGCGTCAAACTTGACCTTCTTCAAGTTCACCAGGCCTGGCCACAGCATATCCATCAGCTGACAGTACGCTGCGCCTAAGCATGGCCATGGGTGTGTGAATGAGCGACGATGTTAGAGTTCAAGCAGTGCGGCAAAAGGAAAGTACATTACACGAAGAGAAGCCCAAAATGCATGCACACACGCACACACGCACACACACACACGCGTTTGGAGAGGCAGTTGAACGAATGCTGTACGTACCTGTGCAGAGGTTCTCAACCTTGGTGTAGCTGAGCTTGAGCAAGTCATTCACCCACTCGATCATGTCATTGCGGGAGAATGCGCCTGTGTTGACGCTCGTCGCGTGCACGTTCACTGCCATGGTTCAAGCTCAAGTCTTCACGCTGCAAAACAAAAACAACACAGCGTGTATTCACACACACACACACACACACACACACACACACACACACACACACACACAACACCAGACAGTCGGATGTGAGGTTGCTTGCTCATTTCAGCTTGCTCAGCACACTGGTCATTCCGATGTGTCAAACACCCCACGGCCACAACAGCAGCACCATCTTGCCTGTTTCGTCTCTGTAACGACTTTGCGTGTGTTGGGCAAAAATAAACCTAACTGACAGACTGACTTCAGGCAAAAACGCCTTGAAATAGGATATTATACTATTACAAGGACACCCTTTTGCACACAATGATGCGTTTGGGAGAGAACAGCAATGCCTGCCTCGAGAGCCTCATGGAGGAAACTGCGAGGGACATGAGAGACATCCCAGTACCTGAGATTGCATCTGAATTCCCTGAATTCTCTGTTGTACTTTGTTTAACGGTTGCACCAAAGATACTGGGTGTCGGTCAGTAGCACGTGCGCGAGTCGGGGGTAGTTCAAGCCGCTCAACTGCCCCACAGTCAATGCACCGCAGGTAGGGGGGGGGGTAACACCTTGAACAACACAGCCTGGATTCAGAGACATCTGTACACGAAAATGAAACAACAACGACGACAAAAAGGAAAGCACACATATTCACACACATGGTAAGGAGCTTAAGACGTTGGGTTGTGCTGTGCTGTGTGTCTCTGACGACACGAAGGGCCCTTGCATTGCTTGAGAGCGTGCAAGCGGCGAGCCAGTTGTGCGATGAGCGTTGGTTCTGTCGTGTTAATGGCATTCACCAGCTGATGTGGGTCGCCTGTGATGTTGTAGAATTCCCTGAATCCAGACTCCATCTCGCAGTACAGCGTGTTCAGTCCATCTTGAACGCAGCGGGGGAGCGGGCGCAGGGTAATGAGGAAGAGTGCGGGCGGATGGACACACATATGTGTGCGTGCATGCGTGCGATAGCAACAGATGTTACGTGCCAGTGAGTGAGTGAAAATAGAAAGGAATATTCAAGCGATTGGGTGCGTATAGGACACTCTGGCAGGCAATCAAACATGCTGTGCTATTGTGCCAAAGCAAACAACCCACGCATAGGTCCTCGCTCAATCCACATCACCCCCAAACACACACACACACACACACACTACACCCATGCATCTACTGACTCTGGCGGTCAAGTGTTCGCACACACTCGTATGTGTTGTTGTGTGCATCTTGGCAGCTGCAGATTGGCGCGTGCGGCCATCGCGGTGGATGCATCTCCATCTCAGGACCAACCTGAGTGGAAGCAGCAGCCGCATCAGGGGGTGTGATGTGAGCAGTTAACAAGGAATCATGTACATGTATGCACATGCACAATGATGTACACACACACATACACACACACACGATGATGCACACACATATACACCCAACCACACACAACATGTGCAGGAAGCGCACATGCAAACGGGCGAAAGAAAAAAGGGATTCACCCACAAGGAACAGGGTTGAGCACGTGCGAATGCAAACGAGCCCACGCACGAGCGAGCGAGCGAGTGAGCACGCACCAGCATGCATGACATATCTGGGACGAGGCATGGCAGCCGCTGGCTTGACGGCGGCTGCCCCTCCCCGTGATACTCAACGAGGAAGTCCGTTCGCACATCAGCCTGAAGTTTCGGTTGGGGGACAGAGGGCGAGGGAGAATGGGTGGGGTTGGGGTGGGGTGCAACGGAGTGCGGTGTGCAGAAGGGAGAGAGTTAGGAACGAGAAGGGAAGAGTGTGACGGATGAAAAAGTGTCGCCATGGTACAAAAGGTTGACGGAGACAGAGACAGCCAAACACAGAGATAGCCAAACAAACAAACAAACAAACAAACAAACAAACAAACAAACAAACAAACAAATAAATAAATAAATAAATCAACACAGTAAACACAGCAAACACAGTGAACAGCACACACACACACACACACACATGGGCACACCTCTTGGCCGGTGAGAACTGGGAGCATGCTGACGCCATCCATCGTGTCTGGGATCTTGATGCATTGTGAAGGTGTGGCAATGGGGTGAGACTGTAACTGCCAGGCAGGCCACTCGAACAAGGGCAGGCATTTCGCTTCCAGCACCACCACCCAAACGCGAGGGCACAGGCATGTGTGCTCGGATGCAGGCTCTCGCAAACACTGCATCTCGCCAGCCAAGCTGAGATCACATACACACGCAAGCACGCACGCATGCACACACACACACACACACACACACACACACACACACACACACACACACACAAGCAAACAAACAAGCAGACGCACACACGAGGCTGCTTACTGGCGCGCCAGCAATGTCGAGGAACGTTGGTGCAAAGTCGACGAGAGTGACGGGGGAGCGAACGACATGACCTGCATGAGATGTCGGGGGAGGAGGAAGTTCAGCCAAGTACGGGCACGAGGGGGAGGGGGGTGTCATTCCAGCAAAGCAGCAGAGCACGCGCTGAGTAAAAGGGAAGATGCCATCACGACAGCGACATCGTGTGGCAGAGGTCCAGATACAACGCCACACATGATGTACACAACACACGCGAAAACGCACACACACACACACATACACAAGTACACACAAATATATGATGTACACACGCACACGCGAACACACATATGGTGATATACACAACTCACAATAAGATTCACACACACACACACACACGATTAGACACACCTGGTTTGATGTGTGGCCCACGAACAACGGCTGGGATGCGAAGGTCTGTTTCGTAGGGCAGGCGTTTATCCTTGAGGACCTGTTGCGTTGTGCACAGGAAGCGAGGTGGCGTCATAAGGTGAGCAGAGGAGCAGCAGAAACAGCAACAGCAAAAGCAACAGTAAACGCAGCAGTGGCACCCATAGTTCGGATATGTGCATGTGTGTGCATATGTGCATGTGCACGTGTGTGCATGTGTGTATACATGCGCGTTGGCACCAACCGCAAAGTTGCCAAGATGATAGCCGTGATCTGACATTGTTTTGAGTCAATGTCGATTGTCGTGCCAGCGTGAGCAAACAGAAGAACACTTGAAACTTACGACGAAACATGCACACATATGCACACAATGTACATCGTGCCACGAACGGAAAGGTAAAAACACGCGCATACGCGCACGTACACACTCACAGGCACTCAACACACGCGCAGAAGCACACATGCACGCACACGCAAACACAAACACAAACGCACACACACGTGAACACAAGAGGCACTGCGTATGCAACCTGAGGCGTAGAAGAAATATGTGTTGTTCAGTCGCCCCATGCTCTTCAGGGTTCTGACAGCGCCAAGACGCAGGTACCGATCGAATGAGCGCAGTGTATTTGCGTCGTGCTAAGCGGCGGTGTTGCTGGTGATGTGGTGGCAAATGTGCGCATGCACGCACAACAGTCATCGTCGCACACAACAACAACAACAACAACAACAACAACAACAACAACTTAAACAACAACAACAACAACTTAAACAACAACAACAACTTAAAACAACAACAACAACATAAACAACAACAACAACTTAAACAACAACAACTACTGAAACAACAACAACAACAACAACAACTAAAACAACAACAACTACTGAAACAACAACAACAACAACAACAACTTACAACAACTTACAACCAACAACTTAAACAACAACTTAAAACCAACAACAACAACTTAAACAACATAAACAACTTAGGCCACGAGTGCACGAGGCATTGGCGTACGCTGTGACGTTTGCGACGATGTCATCAACAGTCATGAGCGTGAGGGCGCGTCGGCGGTACTGCAGATCATTGTACTTCTCCTCGATTGGCGCATACCCTTTGCCGTATGACAGGCGCAATCAACATGCAAAAGCAGCGCGCGTCGTGCCAGAACACACGTCGAAGGTGAGTGAGTGAGTGAGTGAGTGAGTGAGTGTGTGCGTGTGAGTGAGTGAGTGAGTGAGTGAGTGCGTGTGAGTGAACGTGTGGCACGTGTGAGTGCGTGTGTCTGGCAATAAACGCAATTGCATGTGCCATGTCTGTCTACCTGATCCAAAACCTGCGACCTCTCCTTGCTTTGCAACAAACCAGTGCTTGTCTCGAAACGCCTTGCCTGCAAGCAGCAACAGGGGGCGCAGTGCGAGACAGTCCTTTCAACGGAGCACACGGACGAACACACACACACACACAAACAGAAACACACAGAAACAGAAACAGAAACAGAAACACAACTACACGCACACAAATACACACATATGCACAGAAACACACATATACACAGAAACATGCATACACACACACATATGCACAGAAACACACACACATACACAGAGACACAAAGGCACAGCAGCTGCTGACCGTAGTTTGGCGGGCGCGGGGCAGTTGCGTTTGGCAGGAGGTGCGCATATTCTGGTGCAGGCTCTGTGGGGTCGTGGCATGACGGAGTGCCAACCATGATGAAGAAGGGGTCATCAGTCCCTTCCAGTGTCCGCAGGAAATCGGATGTCTTGTCCAACAGCAGCTGCCACGGCATGCCAGCGGTGTGCGGGGAGTGGTGGTGGTGGTGGTGTGCGTGGTGTGACGCATAGGATCAAGGAGCACGCAGCGTGGCGGCGTGTCCAGGTGGAGCAACAGCAGTAGGCTTACAGACAAAGCAAAATGACAACACTCACGCACACACACAAACACATACACACACGCACACGCACGCACGTTCAAGTGCACACACACGCACGTACAAGTGCATACGCACGCACAAGTTCACAAGCACGCGCGCCACTCACGGACGTGTCACATACGTTTGGCAGGTACGTGTTGCCGTGTGACTCCGGGGTTCCGTTGTTGGAGATCACGTAGTCGTAGTACACGCTGTTGCCGACAACTGCACAGACATACATACATATATACATACATACATACATACATACATACATACATACATACATACACACATACATACATACATGCATACATACATACATACATACATACATACATACATACATACATACATACATACATACATACATGGACAGCAAGGCGGTACATGAACTGGGAGCATAACCACTGCCAGGCTGGAAACCAGCATGCACGGCGCGTTCACACACACACACATTTTCACATCGATACAGCGATGCATACACACACGAGTACACATACACACACGAGCATGTTCACGCATGTACACGCATGTGCACATGACCACACACGCACACGCATGCGCGTACATGACGAGCTTACGTGCTTGCCAGTTGTCCCATCCGCGAGGAACATGCTGCACACCACCGGCACTCGGTGCACCGTATCTGCACCCAAGACAATCGCACGTGTGCATGTGAATGTGTATGTATGTGCGTGTATGTGAGTATGAGTGTGCGTGTGTATGTGCGTGTATGTATGCGTGTGTATGTGTATCTTTGAATGCGTGTATGTACGTGGCTGCGTTCGTGTGCGTGAATCCATCATACATGCAGCAACGAAACACTGTCGGTCGTGCGCGTGTCAACGATACGCGTGCCACGATGCACGTACTGGTTCAAGTATTTGCCCGTGTACATTGTTGTGTAACCTGCAAGTGAGAGGTGCCGTGTGGGGCAGTGCCAGCGATGAAAGGACACAACTGCAGCTGCAAGAGGCCACTGAACAGGGAGCAAGCACCACAAACAACGACAAGCACATGCAGAGAGAGACACAGAAAGACAGGCACATACACAGATAGAGGGAGCGCGCGCACTCCCTCCCTCGAATACACATGCAAACACACACACACACACACACACACACACACACACACACACACACACACACACACACACACACACACACACACACACACGCACCGGCTTGTTTCATGAGGTGGCCGATGTTGTGCCTCTCGGCGCCTTGCTGCCACGCAGTGCTGGAACAATTGCCCGGGATGGAGTTGTTGGTCATGGGGACGTTGTGGATGTACCTTCCCGTCTGGATGCCTGCGCGTGAAGGACAACACACAGGTGTGCTGGCAAAGGCTGCTTCCAATGTGGCTGCAAGGCAACGCAATCCCTCTCTTGCATACACACATGCAAACACACACACACACACACACACACACACACACACACACACACACACACACACACACACACACACACACACACACACACACACGCACCGGCTTGTTTCATGAGGTGGCCGATGTTGTGCCTCTCGGCGCCTTGCTGCCACGCAGTGCTGGAACAATTGCCCGGGATGGAGTTGTTGGTCATGGGGACGTTGTGGATGTACCTTCCCGTCTGGATGCCTGCGCGTGAAGGACAACACACAGGTGTGCTGGCAAAGGCTGCTTCCAATGTGGCTGCAAGGGCAACGCAGGAGCAGGCCAGTGGTGTGTCAGACTGTGCACAGAGAAAAAGAGGCAGGGCCAGCCTTGACGTCCGGCAGCCCCGTGGATGGGGGGGGGGGGAGGAAGGGAGGACGGCAGTGCGCAAGTGCGTGGCAAGCGGACAGGCGCACGGGTGGACAGATAGGTACACAGACATGAAGTAGAAATACATATTCAAACGCATGCAGACACACCACAATACAGCTTGACATACAGCTTGACATACAGCTTGACATAGCCTCAGCTACAGCTGCAAACACACACACACACAGACACACACACACTCTCTCATACACACGCACATGCACACGCACACACTCTCTCTCATACACACACACACACTCACTCTCATACACACGCACATGCACACGCACACACACTCTCTCATACACACGCACACACACACACACACACGCACGAACACACACACACACCGCCTTGCTTCTGCCACAGGCTGACGAGCTTGGGCTGGGACACAAAGCCCATGTCGACGTCTTGGTCATCCGTGAGCAGAAAGAAGATGGACGCCTTCCTACCAGAAGACACATGCGACGCCGCCACACCGCAACACATCAACACGAGCAGTTGTACCACCGCCACCACCATCATCCTGCGTCTCATCATCATCATCCTTCCCAGTCAACATAAAATTTCTCAGCAATGAATGCAACGCCTGTCTCTCACCCAGCATGGTGACGTTGTGACACGACACGTTCCTCACCACCACCACCGCACACAGGCACACACAACCAATACTTCAATCGCCCACCGACGACCCTCACGACCAGGGCACCCGTGTCAACGAGCGGTGCAGCAGAGGCAGTGCTGGGAAGCCACTCGTTAACAATCACAACGCAACCATTCCCTTGTCAAGCACAAGTGACTGTGACGCCGACCATCAACATCAGCGTGGTCGAGTGGTTGTTCACATCACTTCTCATCACCGACAACGACAACGACAATGCGACAACGCAGAACGGCAGACTGACAGTCAATAGAACAGTCCTTCAAACACATACACGCACACACACACACACACACACATCCCTCACATCCGCACACACACACATTCCATTTCTGTGCTCTGTTCACCGCAAAGCGCTATTCGTGATCACATACATCACTGTGTAGCTTATGCAGTGTATTGCAGACACATATGGACGTGTAAGAAAGCAAAGCAAAGCAAAGCAAAGCAAAGCAAAGCAAAGCAAAGCAAAGAACAGCATCGTGTGCACATGCACATGCACGCAAACACACTGTCCTCCACACGTCTTTCCCCCCCCCCTCTCTCTCCCTCCCTTACACGTGTAGACATGCACTCCCCGCGCAATTACAATCAATCACGCACATGCACACACATGCACACACACAC